ATGGCTGTTGCACTGATGTCTACAAACCACTCATTGGATTTCAATGAAACTTTTAAAGAGTACCCATCACATTTCAATGAACCTAGGACTATACACAATATTAGTTTTTGGTAAATATGTATGCTTCTTTCACTTAATTAACATAATTAATTAATACTGATATCTCAAGTATTGATCATCACATTTGAATAAAACTTGGTACATAAATGCTCTAGGACAATAGACAGCCTGATTAATTTTGGGTTAAAATCTGTTCATATTAACTCTCTAATTAGCATAATAATTAATATTTTTTGGGTTCTAATCACATTTCAATGAAACTTGGTACATTGTGCAGACCTTATTAGTTTTACACTTAAATCTGTTCATATCAGTTACCTGATTTACATAATTAGTTTTCAGCTATTCCATCAATATCTCAAGTACAAGTAATTTTGAATTAATTTTTAATGTGTCTTCAATACTCTCAGCACACGGGAGTTCTTTCTAAGCTTTCTTTGATTGCAATATGTCTCTATTATTTACGTTGCGCCCTCTTGTGGCAGATTTCTGCTGTGACATCATACAAGGTATGATAGTGATAAAATAGACCATAGTCTCTCTATAGACTGGTCTAAAATAGTAATTATTTGAGATGTGAATTACGTCAATACGTAATACGATGCTCTGCCTTGTTCCTGCTAAATTCGTGTTCTGTAAACATGGATTTGAACAAAACTTTTTTTAGAGTCTATTATGATTAGTGAAATTCTTATATCGAATTACTGGTATAGGTAGCTTTAAGTGAGTTTAATGTGTGGAGGGTTAACTAGTTTAAGATGGATCCAAATTTGTTCTTACCAAATCTCCATTAGACGCTCACTTTACCTGTGTTCACAGTTGCTTTTGTGACCTCTAAAGGTCACACATCCTGGCACTTTCTGGCGATACAATAATCGATAATCTCTTTATAGTTTAAATTGTCATATAAAATTATTTTTGAAGTTCAGTCAAAGCTGCTTGCATTCATATAGTAAACTTGTTCTCCCGACAAAGTACCAGGATGTGTGACCTATATTCTTGACGTATAATTTTTAATAACTATTCGGGTAATTCACATAAATCAACTAAATAAATCTACCTGTAATACTAGTCACTTCTGTAAAAGTTTTATACAAAAGTTTTATGTTTCCAACTCACAACGTATATATGTCTCTCTTATAATTGACAATACTTTGAACTTTTTTAATTTGTTCTGCTCAGAATTTTAACAATTTTAAGCATTAATGAGGATAAAATTCCTGAAAGTCACTATGACCTCATGTCTTTAAAACCCAAGTGAAAGTGATCACTGCTACAGAATGTCACAAAGTTTTAACTGACCTTCGTATTGTCATTTATTGATTTGACTGTTTAATGTTTGCGTCTTGCAGGTCGGTGTTGAAATGGACAAGTTTCCAGATTTCAAAAATGATCTAGAGTTTACTCAAAAGATGATAAGTGATCAGTCTGTGATGTGTCTTCCCGGTCAGGTAAGTAACAGTGGAAGACGCACAAAGCTGGGTCTGGTAATTTGTAAATGCTAATCATCAGCATTCATTCAAATTCAATTATTTACAGCAAGCCTCAGAAGTATTGGGGCAGCCAATTTGTAAAATCGCTAGAGAATTGCCCAACTGCTTGGGTTTTGACTAAACAGTTGGCTTTCGAATCTCGCTTGTAAAACACCTAAAACTCGCATATAAAACACAAGTATATTATGTTTTGACGTGTCTGCCCGGTTTAACCTTTTCACCACTAGTTCCTTCATTTCATCACGAATTCACAAAATAGTCCTATTTATAGTCTGCACTTTCCTTCAGAAGATTGGGAGAAAAGTAGCCAAAGTTTGAGTAAAAATAAAAAATTCACTCAAATTTTGTTTGTTGGCTCCAAAATTAGGGTTCATTTCCAGAAATTCGGAGAATATAAGAAAAAAAGTGCAGAAAAATTTGGGCAAATTGCCAAATATAAGTTTGAGGCTTCACAAACCTTGAATGTAACCACTAAGCACATCCATCTTGTTAAATTTAAACAATACTATTTAATATTCACCATTATCAATTTATGTTCTATTCTAAACATAATTTAATTGAATTTTTTGCAGTGTTTCAAGTATCCAAACTTTTTTCGAGTGGTGTTGACACTTCCACTGCCAAAGATTGAAGAAGCCTGTAGCCGAATTACCGAATTCTGTAAAAAGTATTATGTTGTTAATAACGGCAAACCTTAAAACTACGAGTTCAGAAAACATGCAGAGTAATGAAGAAATAGAATCTTTTTCATATGCAAATTTCTGTGTTTTAACAATCATTATGATCTATAAAATGAATATGGCTATAATTAAAGAACGGTGGACGTCCAGGCGCATTGTGCGTGATATAGATCACATACCATTGTTTACAGGACCACCAAGACTGTCGACAGTCGGTCGTACCTAATATTAATCTGTTATTAATAATAAATATTGTGTATAAATGTGTAGACATGAATAAATTTTGAACGCAGGGACAGGAAGTAATTCCCATCGCATTTCCCATCAAACTTATTCTGTGTTTGAATGTCGAGGATACACAATTACATTAGGCCCGAGGACTGTCGACAGTCTAAGGACCATCGTCCTTCAATACCCATAATTCAGTGTGGCTATAACTGTTTGCATTCCATGAGTCAATATTTACCCACAATGTGGGATCAACCATTTGAAATCGGGGGGGGGGGGGTGGCTGGAAGAGTGTGGTCACTGCAATTGTTTTTTTTTCATGGTGTGACTTATCTGTATATTTTTATTACACCAACATTTTGCATGCTAATTTTTCCTTTCGTGTCCTGCTTTCAGTTTTTCAACAAATCTTCTATTTACCATGGCAATGATTACCCATAATTCATCACTCAGTCTGGCTATGTTTACCCCACAATTTTATTTGATTACAATTACCCATCATTCAATATGGCTACATTTACCCATAATTCATCATTCAATATGGCTATATTTACTCATAATTCAGCATTCAATATGGCTACATTTACCCATGATTCATCATTCAATATGGCTACATTTACCCATGATTGATCATTCAACCTGACTACATTTACCTGCTCATTTATTCAATTAATATAGTCACCTTGATCTCATCATTTGTTTTGTGCTGTATTATCTGAGAATTCTTATCAACATATATATGCAAATAATATGCAAATAACAGTCATTGTGTGATATTTGATGTAGTATACATTTTCTGTCCTACATGATATGAAACTTTAACTAAAACTCTCTACTTAGTATTAAAGCTATGCACTTCAGTTATGAACTTCACAATTTTATGAAATAATTGCTATTACTGTTGCAAATCAAAGGTGGAGCAAGCTGCTGGTTCAGATACTAACTTGCTCGGCGTCCTTTAACTCAGAATCCAGCATGGATTAGGTGTCGCATAGAAATTGGTGCTAATCTCGTATTTTGATGCTAAGCCATAGCTGCAGCTTTAAAAACTCGACAATATTAATGTGCGGTAGAAACAATTGATAAATGTAGAATTTTGTAAATTCAAAATTGCTGTTTTTCATTTCCGTATTGATCCAATCCAGCAATACTGTTATCAGTGTTATGACATCATAGAGTATAATTTAATATTTATGAATTAGTACAACATCCAATCTTAATAGACCATTTTCCGTTCACTGCGAGAATCACGCGTTATGCGTGAAATCGAACGTAAAAACAGGACAAACAAAGGTCATAGCGTCGTAGTCGCGTCAAACATCACGTGGGATTCGACAAACGCGAAAGTATTTCGGGGACATTTCCATGCTTAATAATGTGCTGTCCACATTTGATGATAGGCAATTTCGATTAAGTAAGGGTATTCGGAAGCAATATTCCTCTGTCGAAGATCGGCCGGTCAATGTAAGCTACGAAATAAAAAAATTCTAGTTCAAAATCAAATCGTTCGATTTTTGCGGCAGACGTTCGACGCGCGTCTTTCATGCATCTCGCGAGATCTCGCAATTGTACGGAAAATCACCTCTTTGCATGAGTGAGTGCTAATGGACTCTGCATCACATTCCATATACCGGTACTATTGAGTGAATGAAAATTGAATCATGCAATGTGATTTTTCTTTTCAAATAAATGCTGCTAGTTTTCGAGGTACTATATAATACATAAAATATAATAAATCGTGTTATATTGTACAAAATTTTGTTGATGTGTGCTGTTTGATGATTGTGGATGTTTTAAATATCAAATTTCAAGTCTAGTTCATAATTTCCCGATTTTCTGCATATTTGTATACATTTCTAGGCCTTTGTGGCGTTGATAAATCTTGGAAGAATATGATGTTTCACCATTTTCCCGATAATGGAAAGCAATAATTTTTAAATCCATGTACGTTTGAAATGTATTTCAGGTAACGTTGTGATGTTTTATTTTAAGTAAATAAATAACTAGTATATTCAAACCATGGTTTGAATGTTTTTCTTTATATCCAGGCTTTCAAACAGTATAGGAGATGTTCAAAAATGTCATAACACCCTTCCCGCTACCTTAACGTATTCAGTTTTCAGTGTCTGGTGTAAATAAATGTTTTGAAATCGAAAATGTTTTTACTATGAAATATGGAATCGAATTGTTCGAAGCTGTGTCTATCAAAATCGTTGCCAAGCTGCCCCCCCTCCGTGTCGAAATACGGTATTGATAGCTGCATAACCACTGTATTCTATTGCTGTTGCATTCCGGGAAGCTGGGGGGGGGGGGGTCTCCACAGCCAGTTGAAAACTGGACCACAAAAGGACAACGTTGAGGGCGTTTTATGCCGCAAATGACCGAAAATCTTAAAATTCAGGGTTCGTTTCAACCATTATACAGCTAAAAAAAAAATTATACAACTAAGGGAATAATAGACATATAATTTGCATTCCCACCTGTTGTAATAAAACATCATTCTATACTCTACCAAAATTCTTTATTTTGCTGGTACCCACCTTACTTGAGCCTCTGAGCTGCAGTGGAAACCCGAATAAATTGCGTCCTCTATCGTTTCTGGTACGTGAGCGTAAGAGATGCCGTTCACAAGCACAGCGTTAATATTTTGTGGTAATCAAAGGTCAATGACCTGCTGCTGTTGCAGTTACAAAAAAATCAGTACCTTTTGGATTGTTTACATCTTTTGGATTGTTTACGTTACAATGCTTGTATTAAAGATGTAATATGGGTGAGAATATGCAGAATATGAGATTTCGGAAAGTCGTACTCCTCGAGACCGCCCTTGATAGATACGAACCAATCCCAGAGGTGACATCGTATTCTGTTGATAATGTTAACGGAAGTGTCTATGATTGGTCGAATATAACGAGTCATTACCATGTGGTTGGCTGTTG